AGCCCTTTCTAAACTGTCCTTTTGAAACAAAGTCTTGCTAAGTTGTCCAGGCCTTCAATTTGTGATTCTTCTGCCTCCCTGACTAGCAGCTGCCATTACAGGTATGCAGCACTATGCCTAACTTCATTTACTTTTTCTTTTGAGACAGAGTCTGACAATGCAGTCCAGGCTGGCCTTGAATTTGTGCTCCTCTTGCCTCAGTCTGAGATTCAGTACAGGTATATACCACCACATGTGGTTCCTATGCCATGCTATTTATTACTATTATCATTGAGTTGTGTTCTTTATATATTCTAGATGTAAGTCCCTTATCAGATGTATGATTTTCAACTTTTCTTCCCATTCTAATTGTGATATATCTCCCCACCCACCCACTCTCTCTGTGTTTCTGTTTTTTTGAAATAGGGCCTCACTGTGTAGTCCAGGCTGGCCTTGAACTCAGTCTGGTTTTGAACTCATGGCAATCCTCCTGCCTCAGCCTCCTGAGTGCTGAGATAATAGGCCTGTGCCACCATGCCCAGCAAGGGATGAAGTTCTGATTTTGTGTGTTGCAGATTGGACCCAGGGCTTGATGCATATAGAGACACACTCTACCACTGAGCTATACCCTCAGCCTTTTTCTTTTTAAATTGACATAATAATTGCACATATTTATGTGGTACAATGTGGCATTTAATATATGGACATACTCTGCAATGATCAAATCAGCATAATTAGCATATCCGTCACAAAAAACACTCCATTTTTTCTTTGTAGCAAGATGATTTGCAACTCCCTCTTCTAGTTATTTTCAAGTATCCATTATGTTATTATTAACTATGGTTACCTTACTGTGTAACAGACCATCAGAACTCATTCCTCCTATCTAATTGCATCTTTGTACTCCTTGACTAATCTGTCTCCTCCCTCTCTGTCTCCTGCCCTCTTTAGTCTCTGGTAATTATTATTCCAATCTCTATCTTAATGAGAACAGCTTTTTTAGCTCTCACATATGAGTGAGATCATGTGGTACTTGTCTTTCTGTGCCTAGCTTAATTCACTAAACATAATGTCCTTCAGTTGTATCAATGTTGTGGCAAATGACAAGATTTCATGTTTTTTAAGGGTGTGGATTCCATTGTGTGTATTTATGTATATACATACACACAATACATTTTATTTATTCACCCATTGATGGATACATAAGTTGATTCTACATTGTGGCTATCATGAATAGCATTGCAATAATCATAGGAATGCAGTTGTCTCAGTATATATACTGATTTCATTTCCTTTGAATATACACCCAGTACGTGGCTCTATTTTTTTTTCTATTTTAATATTTTGAGGAACTCCCATCCTGTTTTCCATGATGGCTGGCTGCACTAGTTTATATTCCCCCCAGTAAGAGTGCCCTTGCTATCTTTTGTTTTGACTGGAGGGAGGGAACAGTTCCTTGTAGTTTTCTGATTTACGTTTCCCTGATAATTAGTGATAATACATTTTTTTGTATACCTGTTGCCATTTGTATGTTATTTTGTTTTGCTTTGTTTTGGTGCTAGAGCTCAAACCTAGGACTTTGTGAACATACTACACTATAACCCAGCCCGTGAGTTTATTTGTTTGTTTTTCAGTATTGGAGATTGAACTCTGGAGTGCTCAATTACATCCTCAGCTCTCTTTTTGTTTTTTTTTTGGTTTTTTGAGACAGGGTCTCACTATGTAGTTGAGACTGACCTGGAACTCACTATGTAGCCCAGGCTGGTCTCGAACTCACAGCGATTCTCCTGCCTCAGCAGCCCGAGTGCTGGGATTACAGGCATGCGCCACCACGCCCGGCCATCCTCAGCTCTTTTTATTTTTTAATTTGAGACAGGGTTTTGCTAAATTGCCCAGGTGGGACTCGAACCTGCTATCCTTCTCAGCCTCCTCAGTGTGCTGGGAAAGGCACACACCACCATGCCTGGCTTGTATATCTTCTTTTGAGAAATATCTATTAAAGACTTTTGCCTATTTTATTATATTTTTAAGAGATGGGCTTTTGTGGCTGGGGGCCATGGCTCAGTGGTAGAGAGCTTGCCCAGTGTGCACAAGGCCTTGGGTTCTATCCCTAGCATTGCAAACAAACAACAACAAAAGAGAGACGGAGTTTTACGATGTTGCCCATGTAACCCTAAACTCCTGGGTTAAAGTGATTCTCCTGCCTCAGCCTCCTGAGTTGCTGGGACTACCATACATCACACTTGGCTTTTTGCCTATTTTTTAATCAGATTTTTTGTTTTCTGACATTGAGTTGCTTGAGTTCCTTCTATATGCTGGATAGTAACACCTTGCCAGATGTATCCAATTGTGAGTTATTTTTTTGTTTTTTTAGTGTGCTCGGCATCAAACCCAGAGCTTTACACCTGGTGATAAAGCTAGGCAAGAGCTTTATCACTGAGCTACACCCAGCCCATTACTAAATCTCTAAACTGCCTGGAACACAGCCAGTCATCCCTTCTTTGAAATACTTTCTTCACTTGGCTTCCAAGACAACTCGCTGTTCTAGTTTCTTCCCTGATGCTGTGGTGTCCTCATGATGTTGTCAGGGTTTTGGCAAGAGAATACATCTAATACAGGCCACATAACTTATAGGATTATTTTGTTATATTTACCCAAAAAGTCAAATACAGAGGAGTGCAAGAGATTGGCCACACACTAGAGGCCAGAGAATCCAGCCAAGGACCTGGATCTCACAGCAGCCCCACACAAGCCCATCTGAAGGCCCAGAGTCCAAGGCAATGTCCTACACGAATCCAGCCAGTGGCCTAGAGCCCACAGCAAGTCTCATGCTTGCCCGTATTGAGGGTTTGCACCCAGAAGGCCCAAAGGCCAGTGGTGGAAGCCAGAAAACCTAGGCCAGTGAGGTGAAGGATTTGTGCCACCAGGCTGAGGGACCTACACTCGATCCAAGCAAGAAGTGGTGCTCACGGTGAAGATCAGAGCTCTCCCAGTGAGAACAACATCCATTCCCAGTGACAGCGAGGTCTGGAGCTCCTCCTCCGATGAGAACAGCCAAGTGCACATCAGAAAAACCAGCCAGGGCAAGCTTCTCCTGGAAAATCAACAGCCCCAATCTTCCCCTCCAGTTCTCTTTTTATGCCATCGGCAGCAATCCTCAGGTGGGTCTTGCGTGTCCATGGCTGCTTCAGTTCAGCTGGGCGTTATGAGTTAACCACTAGTTAATCCACCGCACCTCCTTATCTACTCAATTTCTGAACACTGAAATGTCCCCCAACTCACCTCCTGGTCCTCTTCCCTTCTCTCACCTGCACTCCCCTGGCCAACTCCTCCCTCTTTGGCTTTAGATACCAGCCATGTGTTGCCAAGCCCCAAATTTACATATTCCAGTCCCGTCAGAGCCTCCTCCCAAACTCTGGGTTCCTTTCTCTAATTTTCAACTAAACCTCTCCTCACAGCTAAGTGCGAATCACCAGTTCCTGGGCCAAAAGTCCGAAGGCATTTCTGTTTGTGTCTCTGTCTGTCTCTCATGTTGGAAATCAAACCCAGGGCCGTATGCATCTTATATACACCAGGCAAGCACTCTATCTCCAAGCTGCACCTTTAGCCCCACTCCTTTCCCCTTACACTCAACCTTCCAATTTGTCAGCAAGTCATGTTAGCTTCCACTTTAGAATACAAACAGAACCCAGCCACCTCCCTTCCTGGCCCCCAGCCCCAGCTTACTGCCAACTCCATGGTTGAGGCCATCATCCCTCCGTTGGGAACCTTTTGAATCTCCCTTATGCTATGCTATGCTTGTCTCCTACAATCTGTTTTTAACCTAGCGAGTCAGGCTGATATTTTAAAACACAAGACAGAACATGTTGCTTTAATGATTCCATGCTGCTTGGAATAAGAGACAAAGCCCTTTCAGTCACTGCAAGGACAGGATCTCCTCACGCTATTCCCTCCCTACCCTGATCTCAGGCTCTTTAGACATTCTGGGCACATCCCACCCCAGGGCCTTTGCACCTGCTCTTTTGTCTGCCTGACATGCTTTCCCTTGAGACCCACATAACACCCCTTCCTACAGTCTTTTTCTTCCTATGTCCTGTCCTCTGTGAGGCCTCTGACAACTCAGTTAGGATGGTAGTCTCCCTCCTCATAGCAGTTAGCCTCATCTCTGCTTTATTCTTCCCACTGAACCTTACACTGGTCCCCATGCCGTGCATGTACCTATTTGTATTTATGAATTCCTTTATTTGTGGTACTGGGGATTAAACCCAGGGTCTTTGCACTAAGATACAATGCCTAGCCCCGCCCCTTTCTTTTGAGACCTGATTTCAGTAAATTGCCCAGGCAGGGCTTGAACTTGTGATTCCTCTGCTTCAGCAGCACCCCCAGCTGAGAGCTACCACACATAATCTATCTATTTATTGCCTCTTTCCTTCCTGGAGCAGCAGTTTCCGGAGGGTAGAGATTTTTATTTGGTTCTCTCTCTCCTCTCTCTCCCTCCCTCCCTCCCTCCCTCTCTCTCTCTTTTTGTGCAAGGTCTCTATGTAGTTCAGGCCGGTCCAGAACTCACTATGTAGCCCAGGCAGGCCTCGAACTCAGGGTGATCATCCTGCCTCAGCCTCTTGAGTGCTGGTATTATCAGCGTGCGCCTCTACCCAGCTTTCCACAGCCACTCTTAAAACAAATACCTAGCCGGGCGTGGTGGCGCACGCCTGAAATCCCGGCACTCAGAAGGCTGAGGCAGGAGGATCGCTGTGAGTTCGAGACCATCCTGGGCTACATAGTGAGTTCCGGGTCAGTCTCAACTACATAGTGAGACCCTGTCTCAAAAACAAACAAACAAACAAAAAAAAACAAAGAAAAACAACAACAACAAAAAAACCCTCACAATGCTTCTTTCCTGTAATACGCTGCATTCATAAATAATATATCCTGTGTATACAATCCTTATTAATCGATCAACGCCCTCACTGAAATGCAGACGAGTAAGGGAAAGTAATCAGTAGTCTCTCTTTTTAACCTACAAATACTCGGGCAGACTTCTGCAGGGACAGCCCTAGTTCGCTCAGCTGGGCTCCGCAGGCTGCGCGAAGAGCACACCCGGGCTGCAGACGTGGGCGCCCCAGTCCCAGGCGTCCAGTTCCCCGGGGGCCTCCGCCCAGAGCGGCTCTGA